CTCTCTCTCTCTCTCTCTCTCTCTCTCTCTCTCCGTCAAAGCGAAATTTTAGTTAAAATCTTTCACAATATTTACATTTATTTATAAATTATAACAACAAAACTGTAAAAGAGTTACACAAATACAAAATAAAAATAAAACTTATCATTTAAATAAAATACAAATTTATTAAAACTTTATATACATTTACATTTTATTATTACATTTTATACATACTTTATAAAACTAGTTAAATGTGATGAATGTAATTTACAGATACTTTGTGCATCAATTATACTTTTTATAAGATATATTTATCATTGAAAAAATAATTGAGAGAGAGAGAGAGAGAGAGAGAGAGAGAATGGGATGTAATGAGGAGTTTTTCGACCCTTATACTTTTTTGTCATAAATAATTTAAAACAAAATAAAACATTAGAAACAATCAAATGTTTGTTTGTTCTTGAAATAAAAGTGAATATAAAAACACAATTAAATAAAAACATTAATATTTTAGCTATAATAAAAATTTCATTAACCTTTTCATGAATGTAAAAATGATATTTTTGTAATAAATATTTATTTATTTCAATCATTGATTTAAATATGTAAATCAATAACTTTTTCTAATCTAGATTATTTTTGTTTATTATAATATTTACATGTGTTTTAATATTCTACACAATCCAATTAATAATCACAGTTAGTTTTTCCCTTAATAAACACTTATGCTGCAAATATATTACTATTTGAAGGCAATGTTTTCAAATGAAAAGTTTGTTGTGCTTATTGTTAAATTATTTATTGACATGAAATTTCTCACTCAACTATCAAAACTAATCGTAGTATTAATTTTATTATGTTTCACTACACTGTATAATAATAGCCAAGTGTGATGTCCTTAGAAACTACTGGTTCCGTCACTTTTCATGTGATTTTTAGCTAATTTTTTTGACAAAAAATATTACATTTTTAATTTATCATAAAATAAAATCAGATTTTTAATGATTCTCAGAGAGAGAGAGAGAGAGAGAGAGAGAGAATCAAATTGAGTTAATATAAAGAATTGCTAAAAAAATAATAAATTCTTAAATAATATATAATTTTAATTAATTTTAAATTTTAATGAGAAAATCGTTATAAATTTATGTCAAAATTTCATACGTAATCAAAAATAAGGTAATTTTTGTCAAATCAAAAAACTTAATATAAGTTTTTTATATGACATAAACTAGTGTTTAGTAAATATATAGAGGACTGGCGTAGGACTGAGTGTCTGTAAACAGACTGCCTGTGCGCCGATGGTCTACGTGTTTATCCTATGGGCGCTGACAACTCAATGTACAGGTGATTACGTGACCATTGAATTTGCTGATAGAAATGTATACAATATTTTTATATATATCAAAAAATCACTGCTTGACTACCAGTGCACTAAAAGGACAGGTATTTTATGTGTGAGAGAGCGATAGGGAGAGTAATGAGGGGAGAGAGAGAGGGAGTGTAGAGATTTGCTAATAAATTCAGTGATTTTTAAAATAATTTACTGCAAAAAGTCTTTTCAAGACTCGTATAAATAGGAGAAAAAGTTTTTGCTTTCAATTATTAGTTACTATTTTTGGTTTGAGAAAAAACTAAAGCTTTGTTGAAGTTTTGCTATAAGTTTTATAATATTGGATATTATTTGTAATATCAGTTTAAATTTTTAACTATGAAATTATCGTGTGTTTTATTAGTTTTATATTTTTCGGGTATGTCATTATTTAGTTAAATAATTAATTAGCTAATTATCAGAATAATTTTATGAATATAATATTTTTATATATATTTTATGTAAACTTATAATTTGTTTCAATTTTTTATAAGTTAGTTAATAATGAGAGAGAGAGAGAGAGAGAAATTATATTAAATAGTGCTACCTTTAATTAACCTTAACTATTAACTAGATATTTATACTGTAATTTAACAAAATACTATAACAATACCCTAACACCTCACGCATACCCCACACCCACAGCGCACACATCGTTGGCGGCGAAGAAGGCATCGAAACCAAAAGTGGAGATCAAATGCGATGTCGAGAACCGGAAGAAAGCGGACGCGTGCGCAGACAAACTGTTCTTCGTTGGCCGCAATTCCCGCAAATACCCCGAAACGAGTCAACAAATGTCGAAACACTGCAAACAGACCAACTCATTGATCCGTTGCGCCAAAGACTACACCGACACCTGTGCCAAAGGGGTGCAGAAACAGTTGGCCAACGTTATGCTCTACACCGTTAAGACCAATCAGAAAAGTTACTGTTCAAAGTCCAGTAAAAGGGAAGAGGTCATTTCGTTCGCCGCGTGTGGTAATGCTGTGAGGGATGAGACCAGTACGTGCATGGACAATTTTTTGATGAATTTGGGCAAGGCCAATGCTGTTGAACAAAAATATAAAGTGCCCCATGCCTGCTGGTGAGTTTATTTTTATTTTGGTTATTTTTTAATAGGTCAATTTATTGTTTTAATCGATTAGGGTCTAACTATTATTATTGCAGAATGTTATGGTTTTATATTTATTCTCAATTAATTAATCTTTAAATTTTACCTTAATTGTTAAGGCAATGTTTATATTGAGTTCAATGTTTAGGCAATTAATTAATTAATTGATTAGTATTTTCATTGTCAACAGCATTGCCAATGATTTATTGATATAAGGGATTAAAAATAACCATTTTATAATTTGTTAGTAAATTCATTAACACAGATTAAACTGTAGATAAAATTGTACCAGTCGACATATCACGATTAATATTTTACCAATCTCTATTAGTTACCATTAGTCTATATTTAAACAATTAATGCTAATGAAAAATTACAAATAATCAATAATTATAAAGTTTAATTACTTACTTAATACTACAATTACTTAACCTAAATTCAATTACAATCAAAATAAATAATGATATTATTAATATTTATATTGTTATTAATTGCAACATGCATTTCTCACCCCTACCTGTGTCCACCCGATCAGTGCATTTCACAAACTGAAGGGATGTATAATGACTGCGGCTCGGGATAAGGGCTCACCCGTGTGTGTGGAGAAAAAGCTGGAAAACTACGAGAAATACATTAACGCAATGGCAGGCAATACACTGAACCTGATGTGCACCGACTACGAGGAGGACTCGGACAAGTGCCAGAAGCTGCCACCCATGCCTACCGGTGCCAAGTATGCCAAAGCCACCACCATCATGGTCGGTTTTGGCAATTTGCTGCTTAACGCGTGAAAATGCTGTTTTAACCATGATTAGTAATTTTGATGTTTTGTTTGTAACTATATGCGTCTGTTTGTCTGTCTGTAATTGTTTAATTGTACCATGATTACTATTTTGCCTATTATAACATTATCCCGCCAACTTACCACCACTACCCCAAGTCATATCTGTGTTATACATTTAATTTTGTATTATAAATTGTACCTTTTTTTATCATCATGATCATTTTTTATTTGTTGTAATAAATTATTAATCTTTTTATTTGTTTTGTGTTTTTTATTTAAGATTATATTTTTAATTTTGGTTTTAACAAATTATTTTATGATTATTAGGGTGATGTATTTTAGCAAGATTTTAATCTACAATAATGTCATTTATAATAAATAAATGTATATATATGAAATAATTTTAAATAAGTAGAAAATAATAATTTTTAACAGTAATAGAATTATAAAAACATAAATATACCTTATAATTGTAAAATAATTATCTAAATTTTATATGGTAATAAAAAATTATAGTTCATTTAATGTTTATAATTAATAATAAATGTGAACTATTTGTAAATAAATCCTAAAGTTTATAAGATATTTAACTAATAACTAAAATTGTTACATTAATTCTAAATGAAATTAATAAAAATATAAAATAATTGTAAATAATTTCAACAAAAGTGGCATTTAAAATGTTTACAACATAATCATGATCGAAAAATACATTGTTTTTAAAATTAAAATGACTTATTGGTCCAAAAACATCAAATATTACCTTAAAGTAACTTAATGGAAATAATATGAACAAATTAAAATCCTAATTAAAATAAAATAAAGCTAAAGAATACATCACAAATAGAATTATGAACTAGTTGTAAATTAATTTCAAACATGGTTCTTAAAAAATGCTAATACAACGTGTAATTAAAAAGATAACCAAAAATTACATAGTTAAAACAAAACTACAAATACAGCAAAACATATCTATAGCTTATATAAACTAAGGCTATCAATGAGGGCCAGAATGTGAGACCAAAGCCAATGCCCCTACGGTTGGGATATCCGGCCCAGAATAGCACTCGACCCACAATATACATGATATTCATGACGGGTATAACATTGACCAGCACTCGGGGCTCCAGATACGTGACCAAGATCAATTGCGAGAAAATTGACAACAAAAACTGCTCGACCGAGTTGTTGAATATATTCTTGGCGGCCACCACCAGGTGCTCGTAGTCGGTACGGGTGGGGTCCATGGCGGGCGAGTTGGACCGTTTGCTGCCCACATAACCAAGGCAAAACAGGAACCATAATACGCCCGGGGTGGCGTGCCGCAGTACGTACTGTAGTCGCGCTGTTAGCGGTTTGAGACTTTCCACTTTGATGCCCTGGTAGGCGGCAAAGTTCAAATGCCCGCCGTATAGGGCGTACCCAATCACACCCAATATGGCGAACACGATAGGCATCTGAACGCTGTATCCCTTCTTCATCTCCGCTATCCGTTCCTTCTCTTTGGCCGAGTATTCAGTCTTTGCTGACGACATGTTTTGGAGGTTTAATTGTAGTTTAATATTTGCAAAATGCAATCTTTTTAACAAATATGATTAATTTTAATGCGAATTAATTGCTTATAATTAATGTTGATAATTAAACACTATTAATTGTAAATTAATTTAACAATGAGACAATTGAACACTTGTTATAACACCGGGTGAATTTATTGTTGACACTGTTTATATGCAACTTTTTCAATGCATTAGTGCAGTTAACATAATATGTTTGCACTAATATTATGTGTATTGATCCCTCACCATATTGTATTACTGCTGGCGTGTATTTATGTGAGTGGTTGCTATATTATGAAGGTCGTTTAGTGCATTTTAGTTCAATATGAACTAAACGAGATGGACATATTGTTATGACAATGTGAATATAAGCAACTAGAGTAGAATATTCTGGACTGATAAATGTTGAAAACAATTGTACGCTTAAATTAATAATTTAATGTAGATATTTTTAGTAATTTATAAATATAAAAACATAACACTAAAAATAATTAATTCATTTTATTTAAAATAATTAATATTATTTAATAATTCAAATATGTTTGATCACAGATCAGTATAAAAATTGTAGTTTATTATATAACTATGCCCCAATCTCGTTTGGTATTATACTAGGTGAAAAACCTACAGTATTTGTTATTGTGATTGCATTTTGTTACAATATAATGGAACAGGAAAATTTGTATTTGTAGCACAAAGTTACCTGAGCATTGTTATTGAAGAGTTTACAACTGGATAATTTAATTCAGTTGGTTGAAAATACATAAATTACTATTGCTCATGATTTTTGCACACTAGTAAGTATTATTTTATTAATAATTATATTAATTATAAAATAGTTAGGTTTAATAAAAATATAAAACTGTGTAATAAATATTTAATTTGTTTATAATTTAAACAATTGAATTTTATAATATCATAGATATTGCTTATCATTAATAAGTTATCAACTTGAAAAATATATTGTATTTGTAAAATTTTTAAAAAATGTTACATAGTTCAAAAGCATTGAAACTCCGACTGTTAAATAACTATTAACAATAATATCAATAATATATTTTTATTAAATACAAATATTACGCAAGTAAAAGTCCTATAAAGGGTATATGTCATAAATTTACAATGTGTTTTCCTCAACATTTCCAAAAATGTCTTTGTATAATGAATAAATTTATACTCTAAATTTAAACTAGCACTTTTAAACACACTTCATTATGTAAACAATATCATTTTTATTGATGTTAAAATATGAAACAATAATGTAAATTACAATAAACGTATTTTAATGTATAAAATTAACAATTTTTCCAATGTTTTTCAATATTACAAATAATAAATAATTTATTATTAAGTAAATTATTTAATTTAAAATTAAATATTTAAAAACCTAAATATAAACCTAATAAAAACCTAATAATAAGTATATTAAACATAATAAAATAACTCAGACGAAAAGTTTTACATAACAATAACCGATAAAACAATAGGTTGTCATAACAGGTATGATATTCAAAAAGAAACCAAAACCGCGATTAGCCGGGTAACCAATAAAATATATTACACGGGCAATAATAAACAATAGGCTCATGGTGGGAATTACATTTATGACCAACTTGGGTTCCAAATAGGTAACCAAGATCAATTGACTCACGAACGACAAGATAAATTGCTCGAGTGAGTTGAGAAAAATTAACCTGGCCATCAAAGTGAGGTCCTCGTGGCCAGATGTGGGGTTGAGGGCCGGTGTGCCCACGCGTTTGCTGATCACATATATCATACAAAACAGTAACCACAGGGCGCCGGGTGTCGAGTGCCTGAGCACGTACTGGATTCGGGGGCTAATATCGACGAGACTGTCGGCACCGATGCCTTGAATTGTGCCAAAGTCTATGAGATTAGTGAAGACAACTGCGCCCACGATTGCCAGCACACAGATAGCGGCGAGTATTGGAATGTGTGGCCCTCGGGCTGACCGCCGGGCCGTAGTCCTTTCCTCCGGTGTATATTTGGGATCAGTGGCTAATATAACCATTTTATTTATTAATTGTAAGTTTAAATAATAATTATTTATATTAAAGTACACAATTATTTAATTAACAATTGATTCATTTTTGATTTTTAAAAAAAATTGTCAAACACAGATGATTTTTCTGATACTGTTTTTTACATCGTGTGTTTATATTACTTTAGTGCAATTGTAGTGCAATTGATGTAATATGCAATGAAATATCTACTTTATAATACATTTTATCCTAAATACATCATACTAAATTACATTATATTACTTCATACCCGGTTATGCATGGCTAGATGAAAGTTTTGTGTTTTTCCATAACACCATAGGTTTAACCGAACAGATAATAATTTTTGTGCACGTACGCAAATAATTGATCATATGTTATGTAAGTATAAAATCATTCTATTTTAATGTTGTGTTGTATATAAATGTGAGTGAATGAAATAAATTATTTTGAGTGTAGAATAGATATTAAAGAATTCTATCACATCAACTTCTCAGGCTAGTTTAAACATGTAAGTTACCATAGTTGTATACGTTTAGCGCTCGACCAAACACATAATTACTTTGTAAGAGTGCTTGATTTAATGTGTGATATAAGTGTGCTTGATTTAATTTGTAGAATAAATACTGTACTGTACATATAATTATTTTTAATGTTATTTCCTTTTTATTATATGCTGTATTATATTTTGAAAATTATAAACCAAAAAGATTATACTTAAAAATTTATTTTCTATAAAAAAAATTGTTAGATTATATTTTTAAAAATATTAATTGATTGTATTAAAATTATGAATATTATTTAATAATACATAAGTTTACAAATATGTTTGAGTACACTTCAGTGTAATTATTGTAAAGCTATTGTAATTATTGGATCACTATGCTCAATCTCATTTGATTATACGATGTAAGAATTTACAATATAAATTATATTTGTTATTGTTTATTGCATGTTGTTACAAAATAATGCTACTAAAAATTTTGTATTTTTTTGTTCAAATAGCGTATAGTTACTTGTGTATAGTTATGTAACAGTTTTTATCGAGATATTTTGATTTAGTTTATTCACACAAGTTATTTGATGTTAAAAATATAAAACAATTCATTTTATAAATTACAAACTTATTTTAATGAATAAAATTAGCAGAATTTAATTTTATTATAATACAAGTAATGATTGTATAAACAATGAATTATTAATCGTCATGTAAATTATCTAATTTAAAAATAAATTTTAAAAATGTAAATTACAATATGATTAAAAAGGCATGAAGATAATAATAATAGATTAAACGTAATAAAATAATTTAAACAAAAAGTTTTACATAACAATAACTGGTATAACAATACGATATAAATAAGGGAATTATATTTAAGAAGAAACCAAAACTGCGATTAGCCGGGTATCCGATAAAAAATGCTACTCGA